GGCACCGGCTCGCCTGGTGCTTTCCAGCCTGGGTTTATTCTGTTTGAAATACTAGCAAAATATTATTTATTTTATTCAACCACAGTTGCATACATCATAGTTTGTGTTTTGCTTGTTATAATGTATTGATTAGGCCTCGTCAAAAATCTGCGCCTCCGACTGCATCTTAAACACTAATTGAAAACATCGGCTGTGCATTTATTTATTCGTCAAATAAAACGAACATATTTTTTTGGTTAGAATGAAGTTTTGCTGATTATTCATTTTTTTTTCGCAGTCCTGACACTTCTTTCATTCTGGTGAAAACCTCGTTTTCACGATTATCCCGAAATTTTTATGGGCTGATCGTGTTTGTCGAGTAACGTCGATTTTGATTTTTCAGAAGCCTTGACCACATCCGAGAGATATTTTTGACTGTGAGTGTAATTTATTTGCAGCATATCAGAAACTGAGGAAATCGAGCTCTCAAAATCTTATGAAAGAGAAAGACAACGATGAAAACAAGAAGCATCCAGAAGCAAGAGCAGCCGTACTGCAAGCCGAGCTCCGATCTTCGAGGATATGAGGAGTTCACTGGGCGCTATTGTCTGTTTGCTATGCCGTTTCATGGTACGAGCGGTTCAGACGCCTTATCAACCGTTCTTCTCTCCTTGCACATTTCCGACACCTGCTCATCAACCGCTACAAGTCAGTTAATTTAGTATTTGAGATAAAAAAGGGACTCTAGCTTATTTCCTGTCCTCTGATATGATTGGTAATCTTATTTTTCGTGGCGGATCTACACCACCTGACAAGGCATTTCTGGCTTTCTTTCCCGCTTATATGGGTTTGCCTGTGTGTGTTTGTGTGAGTACTCGTCTGTCAGGGCATTTCTACTCTCTAACTAGATAAACTTTGGTGCTGAAATTTTGCCAATGTGTTAGCTGGCCAGTTCGCCGGAAAACCAACTTTCATGCACATTTGCATTTCACGCACGGACACTTAAATCTTGGCGGGAGAGTTACTAACTCGAAAAAGAAAAAAGTTAGGAGATTGAAATTTTAAGAAGACGTCCCCTACTCAGGTACTACCAAAAGCTTTTAAATCCAACTTGCTGTACATTTGCGTCTAACGCGCGGATGCATGAAAATTTTGGCGTGAAATGTATTAACTCGAGAACCAGAGAAGCTGGAAAGCTGAAATTTTAAGGGGCTGTCCTCTGTTTACGTAAAACTTAAAAATTTCAAATCCAGTCCGCAGGTACACGTGTTCTCATATAAGCGAAATTCTTGTCGTGAAAATTGCTAGCTTGGGAACCGGGAGATCCAGATAATTTTCAATGAATGACTGCTCGACGGAAATTATACATTTTCCTTTATGCAAAATTTACGGTGATTTACGGCAATAAATGCACAAGTTAAATATAAAGCAACAATCATTCATGCACTTAGTGACCTGGCTGCCTCATGGTTAGCGCAAAAACACACGATCAAACCGGTAAGCCTCATATGTTCCAGCCTGGGTTTTTTGTCTTTCTAAAAAAGAAAATGCTAATCACTCTACCAGTGTTCCCATTTAATACTATTATCAACATCATTGTTGCTCGTTTTGCCAACAGCCGATAGTAGTTTCGCATTAGTGACTGGTACCGGAGAGAAAGTAAACGACCACTCCACCAAACGGTTCTCCACGTGGGCGCATTGAGTGGCACCTCCACCCTCGAGTTGCAGGTTTTATCTTTTTCTAAATTAAGCACTTTGAATAACAAATTTATGTTTTTTTTTCTTTTTTTTGCCCAAATTTTCTCCAAAGTGCTGTTTTTTGATGTTCAAAAATAGATTCTTTGTGCGATTTTTATAGTGAAGAGCTGCATGCTCTACTTCATTTTCACGTTTCTTGTGGCTAAAATTAGCACTTCGTTATCTCAATTTTACGCTTTTTTGGTGAAAATTTGCGCAAATGTGATTAAATTTTATGCGTTTCGGGGTAAAGCATATATCTGATTATCAAATTTTGATTCGCTACTTCAGTTTTTCACACATTTTTTCCAGTTAATTTTTTTGCTTCCCAGTGCTCAAAAGGCTATACATTTCCGTTCCTACTGTAGATGCTGTACTAAATTTTAGAAGTGCACAGTGTTCAAATTTAACGCTTTTCTAGTATTTCAGTCCAATGAAATAATTTGAAATTGTTTTTAAAATTACTTTCAACGACAAAAACTATATCTTTTGTGGTAAAAAGTATATTTTACTCAATTCTATTAGGGAAACACACAGTGCTTAAATTCAGTGCTTTGAGTGGATCAGTTAAAATTACTGATTAGCTGCAAATTCTTTCAAAATCGATGACTTTTGCGGCAAAAAATTTTCAATCTGCAAATTTTCAGTTCCGTTCTTACTGTAATCTGATTTCGCGTCTTCCGTTTATCTGTGATCTCCACCAGCAGCTCAGTAATTCTGGCGCTACAATTATTTTCGAAGCTTTCGAGAAGCTTAAGCCAATTTTTTTGAAAAATAATTCATTTTCACTCGGCATACTCATCGGTGAGTTTATTACAGATATCAGTAAACAGCTAATTATAAGAATTGATCCAGTAAGCTGTTTCTGCAGTGCGAGTTGCTTTGGGCATGTAGGGTGAATACAGTTCGATACCATGAAGTTAGCGCCTTTTTAAGCAGAGTTAAGTGAGGATACAACACGGCCTGAACTTGTCATCGGGTGGGGAGGAAGTGGAAGCAGAAAGGCACGAAAAAGTGGTTCTTCTCAGGAAGCATAAGTAAAATTCCGGTGCTACTTGAATTCAGCATAGTTCATCAACTCATTTATTCGGGACTTATGAAATAGCTGCTAACTCACAATGTGCTTCTCCAGCTTTGCAGTTGGAAAATTTTTAGTTGCTTAAATGGTGGACAGCATGTTTGCTGACCTACCATTGATTCGTTTTCTTTGAGTTATTACTTCGTTTTATATCGAATAGTACTGAAAATAACAATAATAATAATGATGATAATAATAATAAAGTGATAGTAAGAGTAATAATAACGATAACAGAGCATAATAATATTAAACAACAGCTGCATTTTATATTGGAATTTCATAAACAATCATTGTAAAAACGTATGGAATTTCCTTTGGAAAACCAAGCTTTTCCAGAAATTACCAGGAGGAAAGACACTTTTGTTAATTGAGCTACTTTTTGGCTTTTTATCCGTTGAAGCATTTGTGTTTTATGCCTCAGCTGTCTCACTGAAAGTACACGGAGGGTAGAACTGGGCGCATGATTTATTATATGAAAAAGTCGTCTAGCCGATTTTTTCTGGGAAGGATTTTCGGATTATTTCTGTCAAAGGAAAGAAGCATTTGGCTAAATTTTTAAGTTGCCTTTCTTAAATAATGAATACTGCAAAAGACAAGACCCTTTCGTGTTCGTTCTTTATAAGAGAGGAAGGCATTCAGAAGTAGGCACCGAGTGGTAGCAAATTTCAACAGCAAGCATAGGCTGACCAGTAACGGCTTTTTTTGGAAATTGCTTACAAGCATACTCATGGTATTTGTTTCTTTGGCATATACCAGCACCAGTTTATCTTCAAAATCAATGAACGAGTTGTAGAGGGACTGAATGCCCCAGCTCTCAGCATTACTAAGAAATAGGTCAAGCGCAGTAGTGTCAGGCCTGAGTGTCCTAGGCTTTTTGTCGCCAATTGTCGTCAGCCTTGCGCACAGTGCAAGTATTTGTACTTTATGGGGCTAATAGTTATTAGATGTGATTTTCAGTGCGTCAGCTGGTGCCACCAGCGAGTAAGGAAGCGGTTTATAGCAACAAATATGAATACGGATGTCTGTTCGATGACGAATGCATCCATATGAGTGTGGAAAAGGTGCAGCAGTTTGTAAGCAGCGCCCGCACTTTTATCAAGGTGAAACCAGTTTGGGCACTTTTCAGCTCTTGTAATAATTACTTGATTTTTACTTACTTAAAAAAATTTCTCCTGTAAAAAATTGCATAAAAAACACCAAAAAATCAGATGGAAAATCAAATAAAAAATTTTTACCTGATCTTTCATTTGTAAAAAAAATCTTTTTTCCTACGAATAATAAGGGCCAAAATGCCGTTGTCAGCTTGACCATAAATAATCTTACAGAAGGGCTATCATCGACAGCCTTGCCGATGTGTACTTGCTTTTGGTGTATTACTTTAATCATTTTTGAGGATTTTAGTATCTCATAAAAGAAAAAGGCTTTGCCCTCGACCTTGAATAAAGACAAAGTGAGATAATAAACAGTTTTATAGGTTCAAACACATTAGGCTGGACTATTTGGAACTCAGCAACGAAAAAAATTGAAAAGCTAGGCACTCGTTATCTGTAAAACGAAAAAAATAAATAAATTACGCAGCATAACGATATCTAAAGGATATCAGACTTATCACCGATTTTAAGTACTATCGTTAATTAAAAATGGCAACGTTTGGGGCGGAATAATAATGCCCGACAAACATCAGTGACATTTACAAATGGTTAAAGCTTTCTCAAATGCTTTTTTTGCGAGAAC